GAAATGTAATTTAAAATTAAATATTGGTATTAGTAATATTTACTATTCGTAAATTAAATTTAATAAATAATTACTTGAATTTTGTTTAGTAATTATAACAATTTGTACCATTTTAAATCTTTAATTAGATTGCTCTAAATCAACGTAATTGTTTCATTTACACTATATGGATTTTATAAATGTATTGTGTCTGTGAAGAAATAGAATTTTTTTTCGCGATTCACGCCTAATTAGAATTGGTTGTTCCACTGAAGAAGGTCATCATGATACAATGTCGAAAACTTGTACAGTTTTTAATAGTGATATTTTGTAACAAGCTGTTTAGACAGTTGCATCATATCATCAGTATATTCTTATACTAGCAATGTGTTTTGTTTCTTTCAACAATCTCATAAATGCAATATAACTAGTAATTTGTAAACTTTCATTTTTGTAATTAATCGACAAAAATCTTTATAGATTTATAACCTTCTATTTAAATAATTATAAAACAATATCTTGCCACCATTAGCAAAATATTGCTCTTAATCAGCCGGATTGCTGATTCTTATTATATTATTATCACAAACGTTACATTATGAAATTGTTGGATAATGATCCCTATTACCATTTTGTACAATAAGACTACTCCTTTGTCGCTTTGAATGAAACGTAAATGTATCAAGCTTTGCTTTCTGCAATTATACAAAAAAACTAAGAAATGTTGTTTTAATGATTGCAATATTTATTACACGTTGAAGTGATGCTATAACTTATGTATGTTTCGTACATTGTCTTAGAGCCTGAAACATTTGTTTCATTTATTAGTTTTATGTAAATTTTTGGTTTCAGTTCAGTCTTATTGATAAAAATACGATACATGTAGAAAGTATACTATCGAAACAGAAACAATTTGTTTGATTAAATCTTTATTTTTGTTCTCTTTTATCAGCGGCTGCACAAGCAGCCCTCCATAACGAAGTTCTGACGTCAATATGGACTTTAAAAATTTGTATTCTTAAATCACTGAAAAAATGGAAGCTGCGATCGTTCCATCAAAATGAGTATTTTGTTGAAGAACATGTTTCAAAGAGATTTTGCCTTTCCATTTCCTTGTATCTTAAATGTTCAAAGTATACACAGTTCCCTTACTTAAAAAAAGAAATTACAATAATACAATACTTAAGTCTAAAACGACTGGAATTCGTATTTCGTAATGCATAAAAGAATGTACAAATAACATAAAAGGAATATCTTACTGAGTTTTACGAAAGAAACTCGATAAAATCGTGGCAATATAAACACTATCGAAGAATAAATTTCCTACATGAACAGGAAAATATATATCTGTATTTAATATAAAATATGTTTCGTGTAACTAAAAACGATTGAAGTGTAAAATGAATGATAAGATAAAAAAAGGCTGATGAAAGAATATAGAGTAGTGTACAATAAAAATGACTTCATCTTTAGAAAGGCAAAGTCTTGATAAACGCACGTATTATTTATATAATGCTCATCGATCGGCGGTAGCGTTTTCTAGTATTAGTTATAACAACAGGAACCGATACAGGAGCGGGAGGAGTTACAGGAGTAACAGGAGTTATCGGTGTAAGAGGAGTTAAAGGAGTTTCAGCCATTTGGGCTGAAGAGGGGGGCCTGAGCTACCAAATGTAGTTTTCGGTTTGTGGTGCTCGCATTACCCCCACACCTCCACCAAGTCTTCTGTAATTCATGCAACCACACAATTTCCATTGGTTTTGTTCCGAATCGTACACTTCAATTGTTTTTAAATAGGCAGTTCCATCGAATCCACCCACTGCATACAGTAAACCATTCACTACCGCTAAACCCACCTGAAATTTTAAAGGAAGAATAAATTCTTTTGCTAAGAACAAAGGATTTAAAAGTTTACATATGAATTTTTTTTTAATCAATATGATTTAAAATTATAGAATTTATTTCTAAAAGAAGAAAATGAACGTATCCGAAATAATTTGTGAAGTTTTAGAACATCCGGTGTAATTTCTCTTGTAAGCGTTTAAAATATGTAAAAATTAATAAAACTTACTCCGCTTCTTCTCGATGTCATAGCAACTATTGGACTCCAAGAATTTGTATGAGGATTATATCGTTCTGCACTCGAGAGTTCCATGCAATCGTCTCGTCCTCCGACGGCATAAATTAGATTATTAAATACGGCACAGCCTAGATGCTTACGTCTTGTAGACATAGGAGATACTTGAGACCATTTGTTTTGCCTTGGATCATATCTTTCTACTGTGTTTAGAGGTGATTGTCCATCAGACCCGCCGATGGCATATAAATAACCGCCTAATACAGCAACAGCTACTCCAAGTCTTCTAGTGGTCATTGGTGATACTTTGAACCATTTATTTTCCTTGGGATCATACCTACACAAAATAAATACTTTGCTTTATATACTTAATATACAGAATATACTTTATTGTAACAGTAAATCTGACATTATTCTAGTATGAAACATCTTTAACAAGGTAGATTATTATCTTTTTCATTATAATTCAGTGACATAAAAACATTTTATCTGACAATCATCATTTTTCAGTGTCTGAAATAATTTCAATGAAACATGTTATAGTATAATTTAATAAAATCAGCATGATTTACCTTTCAACGTGGTTTAGACATTGGACGCCATCCTGGCCACCTACTGCGTAAAGAAAACCATCTAATACCGCAACACCTACGCTAGTCCTACATGACGTGGTAGGTGCAACGTCGCAAGACCATTGATTCGTTTGTGGATCGTATCGTTCGATGCTATTTAAATAGCTTTGTCCGTCGTGACCGCCTACCGCATACAACAAATCGTTCAATACGGCAACACCGACACCGCATCTTCGTTTACTCATCGGTGCGACCATTTTCCAATCTGCGGTATTAGGATCAAATCTCTCCACACTGGCGATTGCATCACCGGAACACCAACCACCAACGGCGAATAGAACTTCACCACGTCTAGTCGGTTTTCTAGGTCGTGTTCTAGGTCCTTGCATCAACGGCCTTTCTTGCGGGAGCAGCAAGTAATTTTTCGCTTCGTCCACTAAGTCTCTGCACGCGTCATCAGAACGAACTAAAAGGTCAGAGCCTACGGTTCCAACTAAAAATTTTGGACTAAGGAGGGGTAGTCGTACATGCTGAAGAACTTGCGCCAAATGTTGCCTTCTTTCCGTGACGTTGTACTTGACCCAATTCATAACCGCACTAAATACTTGCTCCTCTGTTCGGACGTTTAACTCGTCCGAAGAAATAATGTCTACTAATTGCCCAACAGGTAATAAAAGAAATTCTTCGCTTTCCATTACCTGATCAAGAATAAAAATACAAGAAAATATCATATGACATTGTTCGAAGAGTGAAACTCAACGATAAAACACCGATTAAACAAACGTATACAAACATACTTCTTGGAAATTGTGCTGTGTAAACTTGTCCGCGATTCTTAAGAGTTCACGACAAGAATGAGTGTCCGCAAACGCTCGTATACCCAGACAATTAGAGGGGTCTAGTTGACGTTTGAGAAACTCGCAACATATATCTTGAATCTCTGCTAGTTGGAGAAGGCACGCTGCTGGAAGGAGAGTTTGAACGTTCGCTTCCTCAACGACGATGTGAGAGGTATAACAAAAATCTATCAATAGTTCCATCGCCATTTCATCTATGTCGCGTATCGTGACTTCAGTTTGTCGAGATTCCGCCAGCTCCCCAGTAAACATTGCTCTGTACAAAAGTATAATGTTTATAGTTCATTCATTTTTAACAATCTACATATAAGAATGGAGAGAGAGAGAGAGAGAGAGAGAGAGCTGCTGTACCTAAAATACGGACTGCACGCAGACAGAATAACACGGTGTGCAAATATCTTTCTAGAGCCGACATTGAGGACAACATCGCAGAGTTCTCGATGTCGACGAAGAACATTGAGTTCTGTGAGTGTAGCACGAGGATGTTTCTCTGAAGTATGACTGAGGCGAGCTGGAGAAGGCGCACGTTCTACGACCATTTCACCCATTCTCTGCGAAGATGGGGCGCCCGTGGCTGTTCTCCCCGAGGCGCCCCTAGACCCCCCAAGCTGGAGGCGCAGCGGGGGTGACGCCCAACCCCACACTGAATCTATCTGCAACACCATTCACCAACCACCACGGCTCTTGAACGTGCCCTCACCAGACCCCTTAATCTTCTCGAACTTCTGCAAACAAACGATTTTTTTATTATTTATTTGAACAATTCGGTTGATCTTATCGAATTATTGAGCGGTGCTTTCAAAAAAAAGATGTGAATTTTTAGGGGACATTGTGTAATGAGAGTATTGTTTTCAAAGATGAAGGGATTGGAGAGGTATTTATAAAGTGCTTAGTGTTTAGCTTTAATGAAATATAAAATATAAATGAATTTTAAATTTAGTTTATAATAACAGCAATGAACTATTTTCATTACTATAGTGGCACAAGTAATTCTGTATTTTATAATCACATGTAGCAACTTTGTGCAAATAGTTTTAATAAACCTGAATTAGCTTAGATACTGTTTTTTAAAAGTATAATAGTATTTAGAAAGAGAAGTATGAGGAGGTAAGAAATAAAATAACAAAGTTGGTAAATTGTAGACAATTTCAATGTATCAATTAAAACAGGTTATTCAATATAAGCGAAACATATAAAACAAAAAACCTATAAAAAGTCCATCAATCATTATGAAAAAGAATGATTATCATAGTTGATAAGGAGATTCTAGAAAGTAGTAAACACTGAATGCTTTTAATTAATTTTATTTATATTTTCAATTTTTAAACAAACATGCTATAATTTTGTCCCTTTGAGTTTCTTTAATTGCTACATTTTTTTAGATAGAACTAAACAAATTTCTACATAAGGCAAAACTCAAGAAAAGCAAATTAGATGTGTATATAAAGAATTTAATGTGCATTGCTCAGGAAATATAAATTAACTCATTATTAGAATATGCTATCTTTTTGTTTTTAGATACACAAATAAAATACAAATTATTATAAAAAATGTATAAATAAAAAATGAACATGTTGCTCTTGTACAGCTGAACGCGGTAGCTAAATGTACTTTCATCCATTTAGGCTTATTATACACATAAAGTAAGTCAATTAAAGTCTTTTGCCTATACATTCATGAAAATAATAGTAATTACATTTAATCAATACTGTTATTTAATAGTTAGAATTATTAAAAATACATAAATGAAAAGTGAACCATCAAAGTAAATTATACTTTACATATGTATATGTACATTATATTAAGTTATACATATTGTATAAAATATGTAATAATATACTATATTTTACATACTTAAAAAATATTGTTAAATTCTCGATATAAAAATAAATTTCAAATCTGAAAGTTATGTGAATTGTATTGACAAAGTTAATACAAGATTTTAACATAAAAATATATTTTCTAATTGGAATTTCGAAATGATGACATTGCAAAAGGAAGAAATTTTCATGATGATTTAAAGAATCGTATAAAAAACAGATAATTGTTAACGTCGTAATACAATTTTGAGAAAAAATGCGAACAAAACAATAGGAGTATGAATCACCACATACATACATGCTAGCTAAACAATATGAGTTTGTAAGTAATCTTTCGGATTCGTGTGCATGTATTTGAACGATAAATCGTGTAAGTATTTTCAAGGAATTCGATGACCTATAGGCGTGAGAAAGTGATAGTAAAAACAACGTTGACACTCACTGTATGATGGATATGAAGATTTCTGATGTATGATAAAGAAACTCGATTGAATTTCTATACAGTTTGGGTAGTTTCCCAACTAATAAGTAATAAATAAAAATCTGATCAGGATTCCAGTTTACGTTTCTCACGATGCTGTTAAAACAATAGCATGATGTTGGATATCCAACAGTGTTGTGCTTGAGATCCGAACCACGTTAAAAATGCAATTCACCAAGTTTTCACGGAAGATATCACGAGGGCACTTTCATTTTGATATCTTTGCTTATGATGCACAATGCACCAAATACCAATTCGCTCGTTTCTGAACCGAATCCCCAGGGTTACGCTCGCGGTGTGCCAATTGTGTTAATCTACCTTACTTCCCGTTCACATCTAACAGATGGAGACACTAAGTTCTCAGGATTGTTAGAATCGTTGCAACTGCTTTTACGCTTTTCTCTTTCAACAGCAGATGGCGAATTTACGATCATATTTATTAAAAACTTACAATTTCATAAAAGGAAACATTATAATGTTCAAAGAAACTCTTAGAAAAAGAAGAAATACAGTTTACTCTACGCATATGTTGAACGTAAGTAAAGTCGAATGTTAAAATTTTATTCGATACAATTAGGGGTTGTATTAATAACGATTAGACGCTTTTACATGTAGTTTACCTTCGCAAAGTTTCATACAACAAAACAGTCTAAAACAGAAAATATCTTTTAAAGAATGTGGTGCTTGAATTGGAGATAAATATCTCTAAGTACGTTGCACAGAAATACAAATCGTTGATAATAAGAATGTTGATTAACTTTCTCATAGTTTAAGCTTGGAACGTGTCATTCAGAAGGCAAATGAAAATTATTTTTAATAGCCGAGAAAGTTCGTGGATCTAATATCGCTATGCATTCTTCGCACAATCGATCACCGTTCCCGTGTTCACATTTCGCGAACAGCGTTGTTCGATCACAATATCTTTCGGTAGAATCGTGAAAGCCGGTCTCTTTTACGGGCATCGGGTGCGTTAAGCCGTGGTTAATAAAATAACGCAGCAATCAATGCG